GTATTAGCATTACATTTATAGAAAGCGGAGAGTGCCTCTCACACACACACACACACACACACACACACACACACACACACACACACACACACACACACACACACAGTTTCACAAGAATAAATCAGATCAAATCATGCCTAACATACATAACAAATCATTTGTGCTGCCTGTCTGAACTCTACATTCCTTCCTGGCTGAAGAATTAAAATATTTCTCTGCATAGTTAAGTAAATATTTCCTATGTTACCAAAAATATTTGTTATTAGCTGAAAATGTCAAGTAGTGGAAGAATTTTATTCAAATCATTCTATTAGGAAAAGAATCAGGAAAAACACTGTTACAACTCAGTACACTTAAAACTGTATTATTGTAAAAATCCAACATCAAATGGACTAATGTCACTGCTGCATATCTTTGACACGTGGATTGAAGTTGAAATCATTTAAAATATTTTATATTTAAATTCCAGAGTCATATTGGATAAAGTGTGTGTGTGTGTGTGTGGTTGTCGTCTTGTGTGTGTCTCTCCAAGTATATATCAATTTTAAAAATCAGCTTAATTACAAGACTTGAGCAGCATGACATTAAGTGTCCATATCTGCAGGTTGGATTAAACAGATGTATTACTTTCAGTCAACCAAGTAATTTGTCATAGACGTTAATCTGTGAGTAATCACACACTTGGTCAGCTTAACTCATTGTTAACAGGAGACAAAGGTTTATGGAAGTATATTTATGTCAAAAGTTGTACATGAGAAAAAAATCTATTCAGTGTTATTTATACGGCACCAAATCATAACAACAGTCGTTGTGGACTTCGGGAGGTCCAGAGCAGGTCCACTACCAGTTCAGATAGAGGGAGAGGAGGTGGAGGTGGTCAACACATACAAGTACCTCGGGCTGTGGGTGGACAACAAACTCGACTGTTCATGCAACACAGAGCACCTGTATAAAAGAGGCCAAAGCCGACTGTACTTCCTCTGGAGGCTGAGCTCTTTTAACATCTGCAGGAAGCTCCTGAGGATGTTTTATCAGTCGGTGGTTGCTGGAGTACTTTTCTATGCTGTGGTGTGCTGGGGGAGCAGCACAGCAAAGAATGACTCATCCAGGCTGGGGAAACTGATCAGGAAGGCTGGCTCTGTGGTCGGCATGAAGCTGGACACTCTTGTGGCAGAGAAAATGACACTAAAGAAACTGCTGGACATTATGGACAATGCTGGGCATCCTCTGCACACGGTCGTAAACAATCAGAGGAGCCTATTCAGCGACAGGTTGCTTCTCCCAAAGTCAAGAACCAACAGACTTAAAAACTCCTTTGTCCCACACGCCATCAAACTGTTTAACTCCTCTCTAGAGGGGAGAGGGAGGGCGGGAACAACTGAGCTGCAGTGCTTTTTTACACTGTGCAATATTTGTTTTTTTTTCTTATATTCGACTGTGCAATAATCACTGTGCAATATTCACTCAAATGTGCAATCCACTGGCATTCCTATTTATCCATATTATATATTCTGTATTAATATATGTGTATATATGGTATATTTATGCTTATATCCTTACTCTCATTCCCCTTACTGTATCTGTAACATGCAACTTCTGTCGGTGTTGTGCTACTGGAAACTGAATTTCCTGGAGGAACCCACCCGAGGGATTAATAAAGTTTCATCTAATCTAATCTAATCTCTACTAATGGGAAACGGGCTTTAGATCCATAAATGACACATTCTTCACTAATCAGGATAGTTGGAAAGCTTTCTTCTTTATAAAGGAGCAATACATGTTTTTATTAAACATTTGAACATAATGCAACGCAAATTCTTGCAGAGGATACAAAGTCAGAGAGATACAGTTGAAAATGACAAGTACATGTAGAGCGGCTGCAAAAAAATGACATACAAGCAGAGTGCAGCAGCCAGCACAACACAAACATTGGGCCCTACACTCTAGCTTAAAAGCGAAGGACCCACTCCTGAGTATCATAGTATAAACCCTTTTGAATTGAGGCCAGTAACTCACATCTATCCCATCATTTCCTGGGTCATCACTGTGTGAAGTAAGAGCAGACTGAACAAAACCAACACTTCTTAGTTTTGTCTAGTTGTCTAGTCTTGCTCTTTGTGTTGAAGTGACTGATAACTGGCAATGAGGTGTCCAGTTTCATGGCGTCAGGACCAAACTGGGTTTCCTGGGTTCAGAGGTTTGCAGAAGCTTCCTCCCTTTGTTTCATCACAGCTGTCCTGTTGTTCTGTTGGCCCACTGAGAGCGACTTCATTTCAGAAACATCAGGAAGACTGAAGCTAATCTCCGCTGTAGGCCTGCTCCAGAAGATGGACAAATCCAGGACTTTATGATCGTGACCTTTGTTTGTGTGATGCGAGAAGTACTCCACATCATTATCAGATAAAGCACAGAGGCTCTGGACTTTTACATAATGATGTTATATTCAGTCCTGTAAAAAGTTATATGTTTATTAATATGTAATATCGTCCCTGGTTACTCTGATATGCATGACTTGGTGGTGATGGTGAATAACATGTCATTAGCAAAACACAGTGTGAAAGAATTCCAGATTCCATTTTTAGTTCAACAAACAAGTGAAGACCTTTGACCTTACATCGGGTTTGATTTAATGCTTCATGTCCTCTTTATGCAGCTGACTGCATTCAGGATGTGTCCTGGATGAAATGTGGGAACACCAGATTAAGGACGATATTCCAGAAGGTATTTGTGATGAGCAGATCCCGTTTGAGCGCGTTGGCGTAGACCTGATTGGAACATTTCACCAGAGTGCACAGGGATATCATTTTGTAGTAGTTCTAGTGAAAACTGCAACACAATATCCTGAAGCACTGCCAATGCACACCATTTCCACAAAGTGTATGGCACAGGCACTGTTTCAGGTCCTGGTTGACCAGGACACTTTGTTCATGTCTTGCAAACAAGAGGAATTACTGGGCATTAAATTTGTTTGGACCAGCATCTACCACCCTCAGACTGACGGGTTGGTGGAGCGGCTGAATAAGATGTTAAAATCTATGATTTGTAAGTTCATTCATGAATGATCACAGTTGTGATGGCTGGTTAGACCCTGTCTCCCCGCTGCCCAGTCACACCACTCTCATAGTGCATTTGTAACGCATCCTGGCTTCTGTCAAAATGTAAAAGAACCCACCCACCACTTTAATCACACTCTAGATCTTGTTTTAACATATAGCATAGAAACTGAACATTTAACAGTGTTTCCTGAAAACCCTCTCCTGTCTGATTATTTCCTGATAACATTTACATTTACAATAATTGATTACACAGCAGTGGGGAGTAGACTTTATCAAAGTAGATATGTTGTATTATTGTAGGGTCTACCTTACAATATAAAGCGCGTTGAGGCAGCTGTTGTCGTGATTTGGTGCTGTATAAATAAAACTGAATTGAATTGTTTCAACTCAGACTGTAGTATCATTGTATGAGCTTCGTGTTTAACAAGCATAAATGTCATCATAGAATTTCCTCCGTGCTCCTGCAGAGCATATCTATTCCTGTCACCAGCACATAAGGTTTGTGATTTTTTTTAATGATGAATGCCCCACAGCTATGCACAAATACAGTGTTCCAAACCAGCCTCATTACCCCCCCCCCCAAAAAAAAAAGGAAACTCACATATAGCTCCTATATAAGGAATAGCGAATGACAGCTATCATTGTAATAACTCTGTCTTAGTTTCTGATACTCTAAGTATCAGAAAGTGATGGCGTAGCATCTGGACTGATGTGTTTACAGACAGCATTTTAATCATGATTTTAAAGGCTGTAGGTTGCAGTCATCACTTGAACACTGTATAGAAATGTAAGGGCTCAGTGCTGATTCTTATAGTTGCATCGGCTTCAAACTGTAAGAAACATGCGAAACATCACAATACTAAAAACGGTCGGCAGGTAGGAAGCACCAGGTTAAATCTATATTTTAATTTGGAATTCGAAAATCGTTTTTGAAAAGACGTTTTTATTGAGAGTTTAATTCTTTGTTTGTGAATTTTATTTTCAATTTGAAATATTCAATCAATTTTGAAATATTGAATTATAAATAGTGCTTTCATTGTTAATTTAATTATTAAATAATAAAATCATTTTTAACAAATGCATGTATTAACGCATATTTTATTGCACAATTCATTATTGAAGCACAAAACTGTTTATTTGATCCGCATGACTCTTCTGGTTTTCTGTACTGGCAGCTGATAAAGGCAGTCACATGACCTCACGAGATTGTCATTTAGTTCTCGCGATATCTCATTTTACCACTGTACAGTATTTCCATCATGGCAGGCAGTAAGTTGGTATTAGAGGCTAGAGTAAGTATAAATGGCTTTATCTTAGGGCTTAGCGTGGTTGTAATTCCTCTGATCAGAACCTGGTTTGGACGTCACGACTGGGTCTTTGATTATCTGACCGAGACTCCCGGGAAAATTGCGATTTCTTCTCATATTGCCCTTATTAACGGCCTCTTACTTCTGATATACAAGGGACCTCTGTACAAGGTAGGTGCTGTCATAAGGTTGCCAACTTCCTGCTTTTGTGCTGAATCTTATGCTGAAGTCGTATTTTTTGTGACCTCAGTTTTTTTTTTGGCATCCTGCAGTTAATATAGCAATCTAGTTTTACGCCATTTAATATTAAATGCTAAATCTTGCTGCTAATGTTATCAAACTGAGTCGCCTAGCTAGCCTAGCTAACACTGAGTTAATCTCATTAGCAAAAGAAGATAGAGGCTGTTGGTATTAATGTGCTAAACATAGAAGTCTGTTAAGCTTAGGAACTTGCTGATTTTAGACTGTTGAAATGGCTAAACTCGATAACTGGTACTAACAGTTACTTTATGTGCTGTGACAAGAAAGTAATACAGAAGTCCATTCAGAAATCTGCTCATTTAGTCCTGTATTGGTTTGTATCTAATATAATTTACTTATACAGCATTGCTTGAGTTGATGAATGGAGCAAGAGGCAGTGATAAATTACAAAATGAGAGAAAGGAGGACAGTTACAGGATTAGGAAGCGCATAGGATTAGCAAGGAAGATGTGAGGGCTATAAATAGAATGAAAAGTGGAAAGGCGCTTGGTCCACATGACATACCTGTGAAGTTATGGGATTGTCTTGGTCTCCCTGAGAGAGCAGGGCAGCGGACTTTGCAAACACATTGTTTAATGCAATGCCTGAGAAATAGAGGAGGAGGATACTGGTACTGCTTCTCAAGGACAAGGGTGATATGTAGCACAGTAGTAATAACAGAGCGAGAAAACTGTCGAGCCTTACCAAGAAGCTATGGGAAAGAGTTTTTGAACTAAGACTGAGAAGACCCCTACAGATTGTATGTTTGCATTGGAGAAGTATAGATAAGGTACTGTCTTTCTGGATGTAGACAAAGCATATCTTAGGATGCTAGGAGACACATTGTGGTACTGTATGAGTAAAGTCAGGAGTGACATAGAAGTGTGTGAGGTGTGCAGCTGGAATGAGTTCCAGGGGATACATGGTCTGGTACTTGTATACTGTGCACTCAAAGCACTTTTTACTACAAGACTTATTCATCCAATAATATACACGTTTATTCAATTGGTTTTCCTACCAATGAGTGCGTTGTCTGTCATTCACTCACACTCTGCATTGTGGATGCACAGGGGGCAGCTTGCCCATGGATCATTTGACATTCAGACTGGAGGAGCTGTGAAACAAACTATCGATCTGGAGATGATTCCTTCTGAGCCACAGGTGGGGCTGGGATTTGCCTTGAGCCCCATCTTGTTCACAGGTTGAAGATGAAGTCAGGCAGGAGTCTCCCTGGACTTTGATATCTGCAGATGACATTGTGATCTGTAGTGAGAGTACAGAGCAGGTGGGATAGAGTTTGGAGAGGTGGAGATATGCTCTGGATAGGAGAAGAATTAAAGTCGGTAGAAGCAAGACAGAATACATGTTTGTGAATGAGGAGCAGACAGGTGTAATAGTGAAGGACGAGTTTTAAATACCTGGACAGTGAAAAAGTGAGTGCAGAGTGGGTTAACAGCATGTCCTCGTTCTAGGTTGCTGTGAGAGCCTGCTTTTTGGGAGTGACCTTTGGCTGTGGTTTAATTATAACCTTCTCTGAAACCACTTGGACACATTTTGGCTGGTATGTACATTTGTTATGTTGTGTAACACTATATATATGTCACACTTTCTTGGTTAAATTCTACATAGATTGCATACGTTGACATCAGGATGTGTTTTTTCCTAATATAGGCCAGCTACACGTGACGTAATCCTGTCTCTCTGCAGGTACATGTGTTCCCTGTCGTTCTTCCATTACTCCGAGTATCTGGTAACGGCTATCATCAACCCTCGCAGCCTGTCGTTGGACTCATTCCTGCTCAACCACAGTGTGGAGTACACGCTGGCTGCTGTCTCATCATGGGTGGAGTTCATTGTGGAGAAGCTGACCGTTCCAGGTTGGTGTGTCATCTGTGTAATGACCTGCACTCAGTCCACTCAGAACTGTTGAGAAGGGAGGTTGCCTGATCCAGTATATTAGCTCATGCTGAAATAACAATGATCTCAGATTACATCCAGACTGTGGAGCATGTGCATGGGCTAATGGATTCATGGCTGACTCACATCCTATGTGCAGAGCTTCTGGCCGTGTCGTAGTACCCAGTATGATGCTGGCTGCTGCCAGAGATGTATCACTTTCCTTGCTGTCACATGGGTATGACAATCAACAGTTCCAAAGAGGGGTTGGAGATTCGTGTTTCAAAATAGGAAGTAAACATGTCTGTTAAGTTTAAGTAACATTATAGTTTAGCTGGGAACCTGTGGCGACATGCAAAATGCATGAACAGCTATTCATGTAACCATCAACATCAAAGAAATGTAATAATCTATTTTTTTAATAGATAACAGAGAAGGAACGAGAAAGAGGCCAGCCATCATCCTTTCATGGGAACATACTGACACCTAATGTGCTCACACCTCTGTTGAATAAAGGAAGTGATGTACCTTGGTTTCCTGTTGGCCTGCAGACCAGCAGCTGGTCAGATCCTGATCTGCGCTCTCAGGCTTTTTATGTGCTCACCAGTATTTCATCGGTCGTTCTTATCTCTTATAGAACTGAAGCAACTCAGCTGGTTGAGCTTCTTGGGTCTCTTCATGGTTCTGTGTGGTGAAGGATTACGGAAGGCGGCCATGTTGACAGCCGGTTCCAACTTCAATCACATTGTCCAGAATGAGAAGGCCCAAAGCCATGTGCTGGTCACCAGTGGGGTCTACGCCTATTTCAGACACCCCTCCTATGTGGGCTGGTTCTACTGGAGCATAGGAACACAGGTGAGCTGCAGCAGCAATCATTAGTGTTTAACTTCAGCTCATTTTTCCACCTGGTGTGGTTTGTTTGTGCAGGTGTGAACACAGTAATCGCGCTCACCTGCAGACCAAAGCAGCCTCAGCGAGACTGTTTGGTTCTGTGGTTCCAAACAAACTCCAGAGTGACTCTGGATCACAGTTTATGATGTGAACGTGCTCACACACTAATCCGAACAATCTACCAGGTGTATGGTAGAAGTTTGATCTCACAGGAAACGTCCTGTAGCCACGTATGCTTCGTATTCTCAGTGCAGGAAGGCGCTATAAGCTCTGCATGGGCTAGCAGCTAGCTGTGAAATGACTAAAGAAGTCTTCAGGCTCTGAACGTTTCTCCCACTGTAAACACTACGACCAGATGAACACAATCAACTTTCTGGGGATAAAGAAGTCTTTTGACTTTCTTTCCAAGCTCTTTAGAAAACCTTTGGGATGAATTAGAGGAGAGACTGAATCAGGCTCATCCAACATCAGCCTCACAAATGCACTACTAGGTGATTTTTAAAACATTCCTAGACACACTCCTAAACTTTGTAGAAAGCTTTCCCAGACAAGTTGAAGCTGTTATGCTGCAGCGTGTGCCGACATCCTAAATCCTTAAACCCTGTAGTTTAAGAATGGGATGTCAGTTAAGTTCATATGTGTGTGACGGCAGATGAGCAAATACTTTCAGATCTGGAAGCTACGTCCATCTTTTATAATGTCTGCTAAGCCCACGCAGCCCCCAACAGCAGCAGTGATGACGATGCTGGTGCAGTCTAACGTGGAGTCTGTTTACAAACTGTAAAGAGCGAAGATGTCGTCCAAGATTTATGTCGTCCAAAACGGCAGTGCTGTTCCTGTGGTCACCATTAAAACCTTTACTGGGAAAAAAGCAAGTGTGAGTCCTTTATCAAAGCAGCTGATCAACAAACTCCAACATGAAGAAAAGCAACTCAGCAGCTGTTTGTTTTATACAGAGAAAAACCTGCAGATGAACTGTGAACTTAGTCCGATAGCATGTTTAAATGATACTGCTGAAGGATGACGGCAGCCATCCTATTTTACATGGAAGAGAGCAGGGGTGAGCCTAAAGGGGGGCATGGGGGGCACTAGACCATATTAATTTCAATGCTATCGTAACACGTTTCAGATTGAAAGTACAATAATATAAAAATTTGTGTTTGGTACATTGCATTAATATTTTTGTACATGGGCCAGTAGAAGATGGAGCCGCTGACCTGAGGGTTGTTAGGTAGATGTTGGTAAACTTTAAAACATTGCAATTTCTAAAATGGAAACCAGTAAGCAGTTCATTTAAAAGCCTGTGTTGTTTTTTTCTCTTTTGAATATTAATTATTGCTCGTTAATAGAGCTCGCTGAGTGATGTAATGAGATCGCTCTGTCTCCACCTTTCATGGATCTTCTTAAAAATAAAGAATGTAATTCTTGAAAAATGTAAATAAGCCCTTTTGACCTATAAATAAGTCAAGTGGGCTTATTACTTTATATTGTTTTCAAGTGCTGTTTATGTGCAGCGGATCTTCAGCAGTAGTTTGTTCATCAGTGAATTGAATCAGAATTTGTAATGAACATATTAGAAACCCTGAGATGATCTAAATGTATATCTCAAATGATTTAGATGCAGTTTTCTATGCATCTAACAGCTCTGTTGTATCTAAGAGTAATGAGCAGCACTACAATAATAAAGGTAAAAGAAAATATTGATACTGTGTATTTTTACAATTAGGATCATTTTATCTTCTTGTTTGTTAAACACAAGGAACACAGTTTGATCAGAGTATAGCATCAAGTCAGTTAAACGTGGGATATGGATCTGGTCAGTTAGGTAAGGAGATTATTCAGTTTCAGCTGCTTTGGAGTTAAAAAAAAATGAACAAAACAGGAAGTTTTCCAGGTGGAGGCTATTTTATTTTATTTATTTTAAATTAGTCTGTCATTTGGCCAGGGTCAGTGTCACTGCTAGCAGTATGAAGCAATGCCTGTGCCCTGCAGGTACCACCTGCAGTCCAGCTGCTCTGTGATGATACTGTGTGTGCCATTGCCAGAAGCGTTGCTGTGTGGCACCGATAGGCTGCTACTGTAGAAGAGCTGGACAGGGCCATAGAAGGTCCTTACACCATGAGCAGGACCAGTATCTGTTCTCTGTAGGAGGGATGCAGTGAACAATTAATAACAAATACATTTGTCAAGATTTAACGCTGAGATCCAAACTTAAAACAAAACAAGCAAAAACATTACAGAAGACGTAACGTTTGATGTGATCGGGCACACAGAACAGGATATGAAGGGTTACTGCTCGGCTGCTTTAATGCAGCTGTCAGTGTTTGAAATGCTTCATTTGTGGTTTGTATGTTTTGGAACACTTTGTATAGAATTATGAAAGATTTCTTAAAGTACTAACTATGAACTACATGTCCCACTCCTGCTGGTACACAGACCTCAGTCACTGGTTATTTGGTTTACTATTGGAGGGGTTTTCTAAATCAGTTTAATGAATTGTTTGTTGTTGCTGACATCTGTTGTCTTTTTCTGGCTGCTGCAGGTGATGCTGTGTAACCCACTGTGTATCCTGGCTTACACAATAGCCAGCTGGCGGTTCTTCCGGGAGCGGATAGAGGAGGAGGAGCTCTCCCTTATCCATTTTTTCGCCGAGGACTATGTTGAGTACAAGAAAAGGGTTCCCACTGGGCTGCCCTTCATCTCAGGCATCCGTGTCAACTAGACCGAGGAGGTGGATGCTGGACGCAATAGACTTAAAGCTCTAAAGCGAGTCAGACCTGATGGGTGGGTGTGTGTCTGGGCACGGCCCTCCCGAGGTAAAACCCTGCAGCTGACTGAGAGTCCGTAGCTCACAGGCAGAAACCATGATAGCTGCGACAGTGTCAGGCTGCTGGACTGCTGTTTTTATATCAACCTCCAACATTCAGTTTAAGGCCAGACAAGCTGCACTCTTCTACATGTGTCCCGTTTCATTTATTTCTCACGTGTCATTTGTACACTTGTAGCACGCTTTGTGTTCTCACTGATTACCTGTGTTGTTTGAGAGTGATATGATCATTCTCTCAGGGGTTAGTAGCAAATGTTTGGACAGGAAATCAACCAGGTTCAAAATCATTAGTGTACAAATTCTTGTAGTACTTCTCCATTAAAGCAAACTATTTTTGATATGAGACAGACCCACACAGAGACTCATTATATTCAAGTCCTGATGTCTAAGTCTGTGTTTATCATCACCATGTTTCCAGTGGCAGATGTGCAGAATAAATGTCTGTTTATCCTCTGAATCTGGATTTAAATGAACAAGTCAGATTGGTTGGGAATGTTTACATTTTCTTTCTAAACATGTCCAATTCCACATCGTCCCTGCTAATCCCAGTTTGTCCAATCACACCTCTTCATGTGAAACCTGCAGTCAGGCGTTGCTATTAGGTGTAGTGTCAGCATATAAATAAAAAGACTTTTTGTAGCCTCATCTGTAGTGTGAAAAGACCAAAATTACAAAGAGTGAAGTTCAGTAGCACAGGTTGGCTCAGTGCGCATCCTCAAAACATGTGATCTGGTTTAAAAGGAGTTGGACAATAAAACATGTCATGATTTATGGAGACAAATAGTCCCAATTCTCCCTTTGTACCTCAGCTTTTCTCCTTTTTTTTGAGCTGTGAGCAGAGAGGAAGATGAGCAGAGGTGTTTAATAAGACCAAGGCCTCACTTTGAAGTGACATTTGTTCAATTTTAAATGTTAATGAGCACTTTTATATTTACTCTTAGTTCCATTTACAACATGACACAGTGTGACAAGAGCGTACGAATACCATACAGTTCGGTTTAGTTACACTCTTACAGAGCATTTCATCGTCATATATGACTGACTGCAAACGTAGACCTTCATATGTATATTGTCCCTGTTTGCGCCTCCTGTAAACCTGTGATGTGACTTAGAGGCAGGACAGGCAAGAGAAGTGACAAGGTAGAACAGAGTGGAGTCACAGGAAGTGCTCACAGAGAGCAGTTTATCACAATAGGACAAACATTTTTGCAAAAGGGGAAATATAAGAGCTCAACAGGTCGATATAGGTTGAGTGATGAATATGTGAAAGGTTGTTTTTTATCAAGTTAAATATACAAAAGTGTTTAACAGAATTTTACTAATGCATGGACCGATGAAATAAATGAAGCTATACAGGAATCAGCCCCAACATTAAATCTACTTACAGCTTAAAAATCATTGAGTATTACTAAAACATGTGATGCATGGAGACTCAAACAATTCACACATAAATGTCTTAGAACCAGAGACCAAGTGACATCACCAGAGGTCCTCGGCCACAGCTGTTTACAGCTCAGGTGGACCGACACAGCACTGGGCACATGGCTTTAATGTTGTGGCTGACAAAAACTTGATTAAGGATTGTTTCTAAGCACCTGAGTACAAGAAGGACGTGTGCATACAGCATTAAACAAGTGTTTAGTGCTGTATGCTCGCATTATAAAGTACCTGAGGCTGTTAAAGTAACGTGAGCATGATCTGTATTCAACAGGAAGTGCTAGCAGCGCTCCAGTGCTGGAGCTCCTTTTGTATTTTAGGAACTGATTTTTCTTTTTGTCTCTCCTGTCAGCCTGTGACGCTCAAACTGTTATCCAAACCAACCAAATTACTTTATACTGTCAGCTGTAGCCGACAGTATAAAGCGCCTTTAGGGAACAGTTGTTGTTAATTGGAGCTACATAAATAAATCTGAGCTGAATGACTGGGTTATATTTGGTGTTTTTGTTTTGAGGAGAGATTGGATTACCCTTATCTGACTGTGTGTTTAAGGCTTTAGTATCAGATTTCTACTCATGTAGTAAAAACAGTAAAACCACAATATTGTCTGTAGATGCAGAAAAGTGTTTACAGAGTTAACTGGAAATTTTTATTTGCAGCTTTACACACATTTAGTTTCATAAACTGGTTAAAAATAGTTCCCCAACAGCATGTGTCAGGACAAATGAGCAAACATCCTCCAGCTTCTGTCTCCAGGCAGGGATGCCCACTCTGCCCTTCACTGTTTGCAATTTTTAACCAACCACAGCATCAATCAGACAGGCTTTAGTGATTAAGGGCATTAAAATCAGACTTTATGCAGATGATGTGTTACTTTTTCTCCAACAACAAAGACATACGCTCATAGATGAGCCTGGCTCATCAGAACAGGCACTATGCAATAATATAGAGACCATTCATTACCATTCATCAGCTCAAACATCAAACGATGCTGTAAAGCATCAATATTCAGCTGCTCTCTGACAGCAGGGTGTGAGTTTCTATAATGATAAATGGTAAATGTCCTGTATTTGTATAGCGCTTTTACTAGTCCCCCCTAGGGACCCCAAAGTGCTTTACACACCCAGTCATCCACCCATTCACACACTGGTGGAGGCAAGCTACAGTTGTAGCCACAGCTGCCCTGGGGCAGACTGACAGAAGCAAGGCTGCCATATCGCGCCATCGGCCCCTCTGGCCCACACTAGTAGGCGGTAGGTGAAGTGTCTTGCCCAAGGACACAACGACCGAGACTGTCCGAGCCGGGGCTCGAACCGGCAACCTTCCGATTACAAGGCAAACTCCCAACTCTTGAGCCACAATCGCCCCATGAATTAAATGAGATTTAAAGACAGTGTGTCCTGTTTTCTGTTAGCAGTGAAAACGTCAGTGACGCCCTCATGAAAGGGAAATGTTTTGAGGGGAATGTACTCGTGAGCCGTGAGCAAGTTTAACAGTGTAATTCTGCTGGATAGAACTGACATCTGTATGCAGATGACTCAGCTACGACAGAAAGAAAAGCTAAATGGGAGGAATGATGGTACTTTGATGAACCGAGGTGCAAAAGGTGAAAACTGTGGAAAGTGTGTGTGCACAATAAGTTAGCATTTTTTGTTTGTTGTTGTTTTCCCACATTCTCTATTCCATGAATCACATGAGCTGCTTTTCTTTTTCTCTGTTGGAGTTTAATGTGAAATATTTTACTTTAGGTGTGAGATGACAGTAATGTTACAGTACTGTATACAAATGGTATATTGAAATGGATAAATAAGGAGGGTACCATCTGGTTCAAACAACCAAAACACCACAGCCATTATTAAACAGATCTTCTGCCCATAGATGCTATGTGACCATCAGAAACTGGGAACATGGCAACACTAAGAGCGTAGGCCTTGTACCTGTTTCAGATGTTTTGACATTTCACCCTCACTCAACATGGTGTTTGATTAGCTTCACTGTTTAAGTGGTAACTTATTTGTATGTGTGTTAACGGAGACATCCATCAGGGGAGTCAGCATGAAGACCCCCCGCAGTGAGACAGCACCCTGACCTGAAGCTTTACCTGCTTCTTATAATAAACCAAACACTACGTTTCCAGGTGTCCAGTGGTGCTTGAATCCAATTAATTTGTTAATGTTTTAATACCTCATGGTAGCAGTGGATACCATAACAGCACACGTGCAGCACATCTGGAGAGTATTAACACAAGTTTAATTGTTCCACGTTTTGTCATGTTACAGTCTTATTCCAAAATGGATTCAATTAATTTAAGGTTCGACACACAATGGCCCATAATGCAAAAATGAGATCAGATCATGAATGAATCAGATTTTTCTACAACTTCATTGGAGTCCACCTGCGGTGGAAAATGCACACACTCAGTAGTTGAGCGTGCATGTCAGAGCACAAACTCAAAGCCAAAGTCCAAGAAATTGTGTCGAGGCACAGATTTGGGGGAATGTACAGAAAGATTTCTTCAGCATTGAAGTGAGCACTGTGAACTCCAAAATCACTTAATGGAAGAAGTATGAACCATGCTGCCAAGAGCTGGTCGCCCCGACATGCTGAGCGATCGGTGTAGAAGGGCCTTAGAGAGGAAAATGACCTGGTTCTTAGTAACACAGTAACACTGTGAGGAACCTTAGAGTCATTTTTGACCAGGACATGTCCTTCAATGCACATATTAAACAAACATGTAAGACTGCTTTCTTCCATTTGCGCAACATCTCTAAAATTAGAAATATCTTGTCTCAGAGTGACGCTGAAAAACTAGTTCATGCATTTATTACTTCTAGGCTGGACTACTGCAATTCATTATTATCAGGAAGTCCTAAAAAAAACTCCCTGAAAAGCCTTCAGTTAATCCAAAATGCTGCAGCATATTTCACCTACACTGACTTCTCTTCATTAGCTCCCTGTTGAATCCAGAATCAAATTTCTCATCCCATACAAGGTCTTGAAAAATCAGGCTCATAATAAAGACCTTGTAGGCTGTTAATTTACTTGTTGTTCCTAGAGTATTTAAAAGTAGAATGGGAGGCACAGCCTTCAGTTTTCAGGCCCCTCTTCTGTGGAACCAGCTCCCAGTTTGGATTTGGAAAACAAGATTCCCTCTCTACCTTTTGGATTAGGCTTCACATTTTATTTTGCCAGTTTAAAAATGATTCTATCCCCAGGTCAAATACATAAATAAGAAATACACTATACATATAAGTTAATATATAAATAAATATACTTGTTCTCTGGTTAATTGCTGGTTAAAAACTGAGCTGCATCAAGTACTGACTAACATTATTAATGTCATCCAAAAAAACGTTGATTTTGTTCATCTGCACGTAGCGTTTCAGCAAGAGAAATGTGTCGTCACTCATCCAGGTGACTTCTTCAGTCTCAGCTGACTGCAGGTTTCCAACCTTATAAACAGAAGCTCTCCCTTATCACCTGTAGTAATCCCGTATGTGTCAGGAGTGTCAGAACAGTTGAAATGCATTTTTTCTAAACACTGCAGGCTCTGTGAAACTCTGTGGTTTTGTAAACCCCAAAACACGCTGTGCCAAAAACTGGTCCACCCCAAAGATCCCCCAACACAAACAGAGTAACAGAGTGTAC